TGGTACCGGTCGTGGTACTGGTTCTGGTACCGGTCGTGGTACTGGTTCTGGTACCGGTCGTGGTACTGGTTCTGGTACCGGTCGTGGTACTGGTTGAAACTTGAAAGCAGGCTCGGCAAAATGAAGTTGTTGGTTCTTCAACTTTTAACATAGGATGGACTGCCAGTGGTGGTGGCTTACACCACCGCAATCCCCCTTTTTAGGACTGCCCTACCGTCTTCCCCCAAAGCATAAACCATATGCGCTGTAAACGAATACAATGCATAGGTTGCTTTAGGTTGCTTTCTATTCAAATACAACACATTCAAATATAATAACGCACACATATGTGTTCTATTCGAACAGCACTTGTTTTCAAATACAAAGCGTATGCATTGTATTCGAATTTTCAAAAACTCGCGTACAACACATATGCGTTATGTACGGGGGAGGACGGTAATTACCAGAATACCCCTACCCTTTTTCGTTTGATCGACTGGATTGGCAATTGGAGAGCCACGAGCTCTTCGATTTCCTGTCTACAGGGGCCGGAGTGCTTTTCAAGAGGGGCCCCGTGGTGGTCTAAGGGACTCTCAACCTCTTCTGAGGAAACAATTTCCTCATTGTCATAACTCCTATAAGTCAGTCACACACGATGGTGACATATGTATGGGTTAACACGTGAGTTAGCGAAGTGAGTTAACACGCGAGTTAACACGCGAGTCAGCGAATTGAGTTAGCGAAGTGTCCGGATGCATATGAAGAGTCATCTATTGTCTTCTTGGGACGGACATGAGTTGAACAAAGCCTGCGATTCTGAATTTGCGGGGAACGATCTTGAACTTTCAAATACCCAAAAGGTCTCAATACTTTCTTCATTCACTCTTTGCATCTGAGGCATGGAAATCTGCCTCTTCTTCCTCCTGAGCATTATTCATCTGCTTCTTCATAGTCTCTCCGCCTTCTCCCTAGCTCTCCGTACGAAATATATCATAGGGCTTGCTTGAAATGAAATCTGGCGTAACTTCTGAAATTCTTTCAATAGAGACCATGATCATCAAGATGAGTCTGTAGAGCAGTGGTATATTTCTCCAAGTGCGCAGTGGGCACACACACACACACACACACACACAGACAGACAGAGAGAGAGAGAGAGAGAGAGAGAGAGAGAGAGAGAGAGAGAGAGAGAGAGAGAGAGAGAGAGAGAGAGTTCCTTGTGACACTGGGGAAAGCAATTGTATGAAATAACTTCAAATAAGGACATATTTGTGCTTTATTTGATACGCGCGACATGCCCCTTTTCTCTTCTTCTTAAGGTTTTTGAATTTTCCAGAATTCCGAATGATTAGGTCTTGAATAATCCGGTTCGGCATTTGGATCCGGACTGCAAAACTGCGTATAGATAATCTAGATAACCATGAACGCTATGCTTGAAAATTGAAACTCGAAACATGAAACATGAAAGTTGATTGGAACTTGAAATTTGATTGACACTTGAAAATTTTGATTGACACTTGAAATTTCAAATTTGATTGAAAGTTGAAAAAACTTGAAACAAGTTGAAAGTTGAATGTCGCAAGTTCAACTTTCAACTTTTTTCCTTGAAGAGTTGTTCTCCCAGCAAACGTGACATTTAGCTGTTTTCCTGAATCGGTCAAAAGTTCCAAGCCAGACAGACAGATATTCAACTGTCTTCCTTAACATATCGGTCTTTCCTCAACTTGAAAAGTAGGCGCTGCACGAGTCATCGATTCAGTCCAGTGCGACAACAAACAACAACAAACAGAAATTTTGCATGCCATGGCCCCAAAAGAAGGTCATACACAAAAAACTCAGGAGTCAAAACAAAACATACGATGGCGGAAATGACGGCATTGGCGACAACAACAACAACAATAACAACAACAACAACAACAACAACAACAACAACAACAACAACAACAACAACACGAGGAGGGGGAAAAACAACACCCACAAGAACAAGAACAAGAATAAGAACAAAAGTCAAAACAAAATGAAGACAAAAGAAGAAGTACGAAGAAGTAAGAAAACAAAGATGGAGACGACGACATCCAAAAAAGAGAACATGGACACAAAGACGACGATGAAGAAGAAGAATACAGACACAAAGTCAAAGAAGAAGAAGAAGAAGAAGAAGAAGAAGAAGAAGAAGAAGAAGAAGAAAAAGAAGAAGAAGAAGAAGACAGACAGACACAAAGGCGAAGTAGGAACGAAAAAGAAAACGAAGACGAAGGCGAAGAAGAAGAAGAAGACGAAGAAGAAGACAAAGACGAAGACAGAAGACAGAAGACAAAGACAAAGATGGAGAGAAAGACGAGAAAGAAGATGAAGACGAAGACAGAGAGAAAGATGAAGATGACAACGGCAAAGAAGAAGAACGCGGAGGCAGAAAACCAAAGGAGAAATCCATGAACAAGCACAAGACAGGGCAAGAAAATAGCAAACCAAGTAAGTGCCTCAACTACCTTCTTCATCGGAATACAATGTACTGTCGTTATATTATAATTGTCTTTGGGGTATCTTTCAGTCTAAATACAGCAACAAATGACCGTACATTGCATTTGGGTGAGGAAGGTAGTATAGATACACAAATAAAGTGTGAATTGAATGAGATCCTGATGTTGCTTGTCCTCCTTTGCATTTTTTATTCAAGAACTTTTCCCCAATAAGATTAAAAGGATTATCAAAAACACATTTAAGCAATCGAAAGCAGCAGACAGAACTCTGCGATAAAGAACGCAGAAAAGCAACCATTTAAAACTGGAGGCAAAGTTCAATTCTGACATTGAAATGGATTGTTTTCAGTCAAGTAACAAAATAAAACAAACTTTAACAAAGCCATTGAGATCTCCCAAGCACATGCCCATCACCATTCATCCTGAGGCCATTTCAGTACTGCACCCTCAGCGGGTTAAGAGATAACAAAAGGGAGAGAAAGAAAGAAAGGGCGTCTCAGATCTCCCTCTTTCCCAACTTGCAACCACAACGAGGAAGACAAAAGAAGTATTGACAAATTTGTCACCACACCCACAAGTAACATTACTGGCTGACAAGTCCTTTTTATCCACCTTTGCTTTCAAAAGGTCTACTCATAAGTCTCATTAAGCAAGCAAGATACAACATACAATCAAGACCAAGGCACACCTGCACAACTCTCTCTCTCTCTCTCTCTCTCTCTCTCTCTCTCTCTCTCTCTCTCTCTCTCTCTCTCTCTCTC